AACGCTAAGCATTACCTTCCTATGTTAGGGTTCGGTTTGGGGGTCGTGATACCATGCTCTACGGGTCCGAGCCACTGGCGCTTCTTTGTATGGTTTACTTAGGGAACGAACTGGTGATGAACTGATGAACTTCTCGTAGCCGGTGATCAAGTCTTCCAGCTATGAGTAGGTGCACCGGAAACTCAACAAGTTCAGGCATGAATCGCTACTCACTTGGGGGTGACCACCCAGCTCACTACTTATCCATATGTCCATATCTTCAAGTGTTTCCAAAGCGATGCAAATGGACAGCTACTATGTCTTGATGGCTATTGAACTCCTGTTTCAACTCGTGGGTACTACACCTGGAATCCTCTTCAACAGTTCCAAGAGGAGTCGTCATTCAGGCCAACTGGTCTCCCAGATCGTGGTTTTTCGGTCTGGTCAAAGTGCTATTTTCGAACGTGTTGTACAAATTCCTTGTTGAGCTGTGAGAAAGAATGGAGGCTCCTGTCGCATCCCATATTTCCCCTCTCGCTCGATTTGGATTCACGTTTTTTCTGAACTTATAAAGCAGGAGCGGTTTAACATGCTTTGAGTTGAGAACGATTTATCCAGCCATAACCGTTGCGAAATGCTACAGCAGATAAGGCAGAAGAGCGCATTGACCTGCCCTTACACATGTTTCGCAACGAACGCTGCGAGTCAATTTCCAAAGATTTTACAACACGAAAGCGAAAAGGTGCGCATACTTCTCTGCCAACCTAATGGATTGAATGTACTTATATTTGCTTATATTTCGTTGAATTGTGTTGTTTTGTGCAGTTCATGCCAGGATTTTCAATTGTTTTTATTTGCAATGCATGTTCTTCATTTGGGGTCAATGATGTGTTCTTGTACGATATCAAGAACACTCTCTGACTTTCTTCTGAAGAATCATGTTCAATTAGAACTTACTATGAGCATGCCAACCCCCGCCCCCAACCCTCCCTTTCCCGCTTCCCTCTGAAAATGTTAGTGTGGTGAGCTTCTTTTCAATAATTTCATGTGTTACTCTTTTTGTTTTCAACTTCTCCATCTATATATTCTTAGATATCACCTTGTATAATGTTATTATCATGTATCCAGTATATTTTGCTCGAGTATATTGCTTTGAGCGAAATGTGCTGGTGTATTTCATTGATATACAGTCGTAATAGTTCGTGTGTGTGAACAGGAAACGAGGAGGAGAATGATTTATTGCTCACTACCATCCTTTTTATACTCTCTCTCTCTAATAATCAGTCTACTACTTCCCTCACTTCTTCATTCTTCACTTTCTCACGTTACCACACCCCTCTACACCTCCCCCTAATGTCCCCTACGGTCACTACATGTACCAGGAGCGTACCCTATGGTGTGAGGAGGCTCAACCTTCTATCGGCTTCGTACTTTCTTGAAGATCGGCTGTAACTTCTTCTGCGGAGGTCCCGCTGTATGCCCTTCAGCGCAGCCCACAGCGCCCTGCCACGGCGCTGCGGACGACGCCTCGGCTTCTTCGCCGCCGCCACTTGTGGTCCCGACGGGGCCCGCACCACCGGCAACACGGCGGGTGCCGAGGGCGGCCCCGTCGTCGCCACTCCATTGCTTCCAGTCGGGAATACGGAAATTGGGGGGCTCGCCTGCGGGCTCAAGCCGCCCGCCCCCCCCCCCTCCCCGACGAGAATAGGTAGTTGGCTGGCGAAAACATAATTGAGGTGCATACTCCTTCCGCCCTCTTTTATAGGTCCCTGCAAGCTATAACTGTTTTTGTTTACATTCTGCAGCCCTATCCTCCTTATCGTACCAATCTTCCTACGCTTCCCATTCTCTATGATCCCTCATTCTAGCGGTTTCCTGCCGCTTACGTTATCGTCGCAACCCCGGCTCTTCGATACGTTCCTCCTTCCTCTTAGGAACCCTACTACCCGTCCTTCTCAGCAAATCCTCGTCTGCCATCTCCCACCGTATCACCCTTTCCTTCATTTGGTCAGCATGGGTTTTCTTCACTCCCATGCCGAAATGGACTTCGTACACACTTGACCCTAGAATTCTAACCACAATCCCGAGTATCCATAGGTTTCCGGACCCGGTGCAATTCCTTATGAACACCTCCTGTCCTACTACAAAATTTCGCTCTTTTTTCCCTTGATCATAAGTTCTTATCATTCGCTCTTGATACTTGTTGGCGGGCAATTTCCTTGTTTCCATTCTAACTATATCCAGGATGGTTCATGGTCGCCCCATGAGCATTTCTGCCGGTGCTTTACCCGTCGCCGCATGGGGTGTGACCCTGTACTCAATGAGCAAGTCCGATACTGCGTTTCCTAGTGTTTTATTGGAACACAACACCTTATACAAGATATTTTTAAACGTCTGGACAAAACGCTCTGCTTCCCCATTCGAATTAGGGTGATGAGGCGGTGTAAATATTTACTGTATCCCCCTTTTTTCACAGTATTCCCGGAACTCTGCCGAAGTAAACGGAGGGCCATTATCCGAAACCAACT